TGTAAAACCAAAGGAGGGTTAATGAACAGCATGAGTGCAGGACTTTTTGACATTTTTATCAGAGCACTGCCCCAGTAGCAATAAAAAAATGCTGAATGAGATCTCTCGAAGGTGCTTTTGAATGTTAACGAAAAATACCAAAGGTTAGCTGAAATTAAAATGGTAACAAGAAGAGTCTTCAGTGACACCCATTTGGCTAGAACGTTACTGACGTGTGGCCCATGAACCTTTGGCCTTTTTTCTCCTGTTTATGACTGACACTGCTGGAGAAAGATTGGACAATTTGGGTAATGGATTACACAGACAATTTTGCATGGTTTGAGAAGGTACATGCAACCGCATTCAGAAGCCATCAGTGCGATGCAAGGAGGTGTGGATGCTTTTTGGCAAGTGGTATCTCCTGCCTGTGAGCGCGTGGTACAATCACAGTAAACGCTGATCTCATTCTGGCTGCCGATTCAGTCTTCAGGGCAACCGGATCCAAGGAGTCATCCTTACCCTGGACTTTGACGATGCAGAGATCTCCTGTCCACTCAGGAAGACAGAGACAGGAGAAGATGTCGGAGTTGGGCATCTGCATGCATGTGCCTCCATTCTCGCAGCCACTGAGAGAGCAGTTAGCTACGTTGATGCTCGCTGCAAAAGAAAGACAAAAAAATTCACAGCATAATTTCTGATCATAAAATCAAGCGGATGCCCCCGGATATCCCGGAGAATTTTTTCGAAAGAAATCCCTATTTATCGGGACAGGGCCCAGAATACGACGGAAGAGTATTCGTCGGGACCTGTTTACGGGTCGGGCTTTTGCCCAGACATGAGTCGAGTGCGAGAACAACTCTACGACTGCGGGAAAGCCTGGGCCTAAAAGTCCCCAAATTACAGACGTGCTACATTAGATATATGAAGAGCAATAATACAAGAAACACACTTGTAATACAAGCAGTAACTGCATTTTATTTTTACCTGCTCGATTCGGAAGAAAAAGGACGAAAAATGGCAAACAATACGCGGCACGGAGTATCCATTCTCTCCCGAAAGACGCCATTTTATTGTGTGCAGAGAGGCCTGCCGGCCTGGCAGCTCAGCATTGAACAGCGCCACCTTGCGACCAAAATGTACGCGCCTTGCAGCATTCACTGCTAGCTCATCCACACTCAACTGCGGTTCGACGACGGACCCCTCCCCCACAAAGAAACTTCATTGATTCTCGTGAATATCACGGGGGGGACTCTTTTTCCTAGTGGATGCCCGTGCCCCCCCCCCATTTGAAATTTGTGAATAATCTCCGTTGAAAATGCAGCTATAACCACTTAATGGTGCCCCGTTGAAGAAATGTGTCCACCCATGGGGGGTGCCCCCGGACACTATTTTAGCCTAGCCCTGGTTACGCTGCTGCTGGTTTTGTTCGAGAAGGTTGTGGCTTCAGGAGCGATAACCAGACATGACTCGTAAATATTTGTAAGTTTTGAGAACTGAGATTCTTATAGTTTCATGATACTCGTCTAGGTTCACGAACTAATGAGTTGTAAGTTATTATTTTTTGTTATTGTGAATTTGACCCTCACCACCTGTGTTAACTTCCGATCCCCCGATTTAATCCATGCATCACAAAACAAGAAAAGTTTGAGCACGGTACGAGCCTTGTCGGCGTATGGGTCGGTACGGTACGCACAACTTCCACACTAGTCTTGGTGTTTTTGTACAAGATTAGTTGTCAGAAGTTAAAGATACGTGTACTGTTTTTATCTAGTTACATTTGGGGCCCAAGATGGATCAATGCGTGGTTCCCAGGCGCGATACTAAAGCCATTGAGGGGGGGGCATTAGACACTTCCCACTTGACGTCACCTTTTAACTTTTGCCACTGCAAATCCAATATTTTCCTCCCTTTTCAATAATTCCTTATTTTGGCATTTTTGGAGGGGGGAAAAACAATTTTTTGTTTGGTGTGTGTGTGTGGGGGGGCTAAATCCCTCTGGCCTCTCCCCCGTAGAACGCGCCTGGTAGTTCCCAAAATAAGTGCCACGGACCCCGACCAGGGGCGGGAGTGGGGGGGGGGGTCAAATATTCGTGTCCCTCCTCGATCGGCCGGCCGCTGGCGCCTCCCTGATAACGCGCCCAAATTGGGCGCTTAGCTGTCAAGCTCACTTACACAGAATTGGTGGGTTTTGGGCTACACGCTGTCGCTACATAGCCTTGGTTTTTTACACAGCCGACCGGCACGGCTGAGCGCGGAGCTCGAAATGAGGGCAAAAAAGCCCGGAATGAACGGCATTTTTCCTCAGGAACGTAGGCCCTTGACTGTGCAAACCAAGTAAGGGTGATTTTCCCACGGATAACGTCGTGTCAGGTCGCAAACACGAGGATTTCACCGGAAAGCATGGCCTGACAAATGGCAGAGTCGACCTTCGGGATTGGGCCTATTGCGCACTGCCGTGCCGTCTGTGTGGCAAGTGATCCTCTATCTCTACACGGGAGTCCGACATTACTTCGGTGGATTTTTAAGTTACGGCGAAACGCCGAGTCGAGGCTCTAGCTTAAGTCGTCTACCTTTTTAGTCTGAGTAAGTGAGATTATTTCTTGGCAATTTCAGCTACATGCTGGTACAGTGCAGCTTTGATGATTTTAAGTAATTCATAAACCCTAGTGTTTTTTTTCTCGTTTCAACGTTGTTCTTGTCAATCATGCCAGTTTTTGGCAAATTTTGGGACATGGTGCCGTTGGAGTGGTTGTCACTGCCACTGTATATCTTGTTTTTCCCCTTTTTGTTTACATTAAAAGAAAAGTGGAGAGGGTGAAAAAGTGCATAATTGAGCCATTGACCACCACTTTTCTTTTAATGTAAACAAAAAGGGGAAAAACAAGATGTACAGTCGCACCTCAAAAGGACTGGATGTGTGCAGTGGTTATTCAGCTAAATTAAAATTGAAGAAACTGGGTTTTTCTAATTTCACACCATGGCACCTTTAATTGATCAAAGTGAAATCTCAGTAATGTTCGGACGGGTGGAATCTGGTGATGAAGTTCCTTAAGAATGTGTCTGTCTCTTCATTAAGAGCAGCATTGTGCTCATGAATGGTGGAAAGAAGTGACAAAGAATTTACCTCGCATCAACAGCACCGACACAACTGATTTGGTTTTTAAAGTTTATTAGTCACTTGAATGAGGAGTTCATTGTAATGGAACATTTTTTTCTCCACAGCAGAATTTATATTTAGTGCAAGTGCACACTCTTCATGTTTATCAGCCAAGATTTTGACAGTACGTTGCTCAAATGGTGGTCTCAACGTTAGCCCAGTATGAGCCAAAAGATTGAATTTATAGAACGTTGGGGATTGAATCCATTATGGCAGAGACCTAGGCCATGGTGGAAGAAGATGGACGCTGCTATGGTAGCCGGGGCAGAGCCTTATGGCACTGCAGGTGCCCATGGTGGGCATTATGGGATAGGGCACCAACACGGACCCGGAGTCCGCCCTCCTACCTCCTCGCCTGACTCTGCCCATCAAAATGCCAGCCCCGGCGGCCTCAACCCAACGACAGGGATGTCGAACTGTCGATCGCTTCCACGACTTGTGCTGGACGAGGATGAGGAAAGCGGGGAGGATTCTGGGGATGAGGGTCACGATGGCAGGGACCCCGGCTGGGAGAGAGTGGTCATTAATATCAGCGGCCTACGCTTTGAAACCCACGCCAAAACTTTATGCCAGTTCCCAGAGACGCTCCTTGGTAACCCAGAGAGGCGTTACCGATATTTTGACCCGCTGAGGAATGAGTTCTTCTTTGACCGCAATCGTCCAAGCTTCGACGCAATCTTGTATTACTATCAAAGTGGAGGGCGCCTGCGAAGACCCATCAATGTACCCATGGATGTGTTCACTGAAGAGATCAAGTTCTACGAACTCGGCGAGGAGGCAATGCTGAAGTATAAGGAGGATGAAGGCTTCATACATGAGGAAGAGAAGGAAATACCACAGAACACAATCGCCCAGAAGGTCTGGTCGCTCTTTGAGCATCCAGAGAGCTCCAAGACAGCCCGGGCAATCGCCATCATATCAGTGTCTGTGATCGTAGTTTCTATCGTAACCTTCTGCATGGAGACGATGCCAGAGTTCAGGGGGGAAGAGGAGACAGACGTCACCAAGCCGACGCTGTCACCCTGTGGCGGCATTCTGGCAGCTCATCCGACGACAGCAATGCCCAGCGTCAACGGCACGCACACCACGTGGGAGGAGGAGCTGGCCGCGTACTTCCAGAATCCCTTCTTCATCATAGAGACCTTTTGCATCATCTGGTTCACCACGGAGTTCATCCTCCGCTTCTTGTCCAGTCCCAGCAAGCTGATCTTCCTGAAAAACATCATGAACCTGATTGACGTGATAGCAATACTCCCCTACTTCATACAAGTGGGTACCATAGTGGCTCAGTCCTCGACAGATCGCAACAGCCAAGCAATGTCTTTGGCCATCCTTCGTGTTATCCGCTTGGTACGCGTCTTTAGAATATTCAAATTATCTCGGCACTCTAAGGGGCTACAAATCCTAGGTCGAACTTTAAAGGCGAGCATGAGAGAGCTAGGGCTTTTAATATTTTTCCTGTGTATAGGTGTGGTGTTATTCTCAAGTGCAGTCTATTTCGCGGATGCCGATAGCATTGACGAAAAGGGCCGACCCATATTCAAAAGCATACCTGACGCTTTTTGGTGGGCAGTTGTCACCATGACAACAGTAGGGTATGGTGATATGAAACCGCAGAGCACCGGTGCGAAAATAGTTGGTTCCCTCTGCGCTGTGACAGGCGTGCTAACCATTGCGCTTCCCGTCCCCGTCATTGTATCCAACTTCAATTACTTCTACCATCGCGAGTCGGATACAATGGACACGGGCGAGTATTCTCACGTGCAAAGTTGCCCCTACCTTCCCCCGCCCTCAGCCAAACGCAGCCACAGCGGCAGCTGCAGTCAGAATTCGGTGAACCACATCGTAGAAATGGAGGAAGGGTTGCTGGACCAACAAGGTGCAGTGGTCCCCAAACCTCCCTATAACAACAACATAGACAGGCGCCCCAACAATGTCCATGGCAACTGCATCAACTTGAATGCAGTCAGCATTGAAACAGATGTATGATTACCAGACGTGGTCATGGGTTTTGTTTGTTTGTCACTTTGTTTGTTTCCTAAACATTGCTCTGTTATGTCGGATCACAAGCCTCCTCAGGCTTGTGCCATTTTCATCCTGTTTTGAGGGCATCTACAATAAGTTTCTTTACACGCTGACTGACGCTAACACAGCTTGCAGGTCATAATGATGTTGGCCAGTTGTTTGATAACTTTTTGCCAAGCGGTTTTGGAAGTTGAGTCAAGAGAAAAGTGGCGAGAGCTGTCATGAAGCAAACCTCACTGATGTTGCACCAAGTTACCGCTTGTCATAAAACAGTTACTGTACAGGGTACCTGTACATGTATGTGCATACATGTACAATGTCTCAAAAAATTCAAAATCTAACAAGACTAGATAGTAGACGAATTTGACTTAATAGCTGACCAACATCATTTATTCAACCATGCTTCATATGGGCATCACATCGGGTAAAAATCACATGCCGGGTATCTGCATGTATCATTTTGGTAAAAAATCCCTCCTCTATCCTTCCGAAAACTCTCAAAAAGTTATCAGAACAATCCGACTTTGTAGATGTACCGTAGCTGCCTGAATGGAGCAGATGTTTTTATTTCATGTGTACCTCAGCTTCAGGTCCTTTTGTACTTTTCTGTGAAGGAATTTTGTTTTTAAGTGAACATCTTTCTATTTTTGGGGGGGTCTATTTAAGGATTTGTAAGAGAGCATGCCCATTCGTTGTCGTTTCATGTTGTTATTGCCTGTGAATACTTTAAATCCTTCAACAAACAAGCTGGAATTGTTTGTTACCCACATTCTGACTGTCTTTGTTTGGTCTATTTTCCCACGATGTCAGCAAGAGCGCTGCCCGTTTGCCAAATCCTTGGTCTGAATCAAAACCACAGCTCCTCAATTTGTCACGTCCAACTTTAC